TCTTCTTTGCAAAAATATCTGCTTAAGTCCTTTGCCCATTATTGAATTCAGTTGTTTGTCTTTTTGTTGTAGTCTTTACATATTCTGGATAGTAAACATTTATCAATTATATGATTTGCAAATATTTTCCTCCCATTCTTTAGGTTTTCTTTTATTTTTCTTGACAATACCCATTGATACACAGAAGTTTTTAGTTTTGATGAAGTCCAACTTATGCATTTTCTTTTTTTTTTTTTTCAACTTATGCATTTTCTATCTACCTAGTTGTGCTTTTGATGTCGTATCTAAAAATCCACTGCAAATTCAAGGTCATGAAGATTTACAACATTTTCCTGTAAGAATTTTATGGTTCCAGCCCTTAACATTTAGGTCACTTATTCATTTTGAGTTAATTTTTGTTCATGGTGTGATGCAGGAGTCCAAATTCATTCTTTTGCATGGGAAAATCCAGTGGTCCCAGCACCATCTGTTGAAGAGAAAATTCTTTCCCAAATAAATAGATATAAAACTCATGCTAAAAATTACTTTGCTATAGATGTATGAGTTTATTTCTGAACTTTCAATTCTATTCCACTGGTTCATATGCTTACACTAACTCAAGTACCACACAGCTTTGATCATTGTAGCTTTGTAGTTAAGTTTTGAAATTGGGAAGTATGACTCTCCCAAAGTTGTTTTATTTCAATACTGTGTTGACTTTTAGGGGCTTCATGCCATTTCATATAATTATGAGTGTCTGATTTTCCATTTTTCCAACAAAGGATGTTGGAATTTTTACAGACATTGCATTGAACCTGTAGATTGCTTTGAAGGGTATTGATATCTTAACAATACTCAGTATTTCTATCCATGATCACAGAATATCTTATGTCAATTTTTTTTGATCAAAAAGAAAACAAGTTCAGGGAAACTAGTGAAAAAGATCTCAGTAACCAGACAACCCTGAGCTCCTGCCCCCTAACCTACTGTACTTTCATTTCTCTACTGTGATGAAATCATGATTAACTCATCCTGGAATAATTTCCAGGGTCAACATGATCTTGTATTAAAAGCACAACAGAATCTCAGAACACTTATTTAAGAATTAAGTATTGTTAACAAATTAGATAAGAAATAGTTATACCTTTAAATTTACAGTTCCACCACAAACTTAACGAAACATATAAACACAATGAAATATTCTTGTATATATATTCATACTCACAGTGAAAGACAGTATTCATTATTTATTTATTTGATACTACACCACATTAAAAGAAAAGGTAATCAAAACTAAGATATTAAGAGTTCTGCAAAAATGCTATATGTTTTGTTTATCCCACTTAATTCTTGTACAAATTTGCTTGTATGCTCAGTCACTAGGGCATGTCCGATTCAGGCTCTTCTGTCCATGGGATTTCTCAGGCAAGAATACCAGAGTGGGTTGCTATTTACTCTCCAGGGTACCTTCCCAACCCAAAGATCGAACCCACGGCTCCTTCACTGGCAGGTGGATTCTTTATCACTGAGCCACCCAAGAAGCCCAAGAATTTAATAGTCCACAATTTCAAATGTCACCCTAAATCTAACAACCTTTCCTGAGAGGTACAGCCAGATCTCTGTGTCTTAGGGTTGCCCACCTTGGCTGAGAAATGGACAGTAAAAAGTTTTGAGTACACACCCCTAAGATACCTGTTTATGAACTATATATAAGAACTAGTCCCTACTTATTAAATTGAATATTAGTAAAGCTTAATTTCTATTTTTTAAAGAAAAAATAAGCCATAATATTTTTTTCCTATAATACACTGGATCATCTTGTACAGCATAGTCAAGAAAACTACTTTAGTGAATTAAAAAAGAGGAAAACAAAAGGGGAAGGTTTTTGCTCTTTATGATATATCCTAACTCTACTGCTTCTTGAAACTCAGAGACTCTGAATGCTGTCTCATTTTTAAGCCAAGTCAATCTTGAGAAAGTACAACAAAGTTGAAGGTGTCAGGCTCCCAGATTTGACACTATACTACAAAGCTAGAGTAATCAAAACACTACGGTATTGGCACAAAAACAGACACATGGGTCAATGAAACAGAATAGACATCACAGAAATAAACCAATGCTCACATGGTCTATTGCTCTATGACAGAGGATGCAATAATAAATGATAGGGAAAAGAGAGTATCTTTAATATATAGTGTTCAGAAAATTGGACAGCTACATGCAAATGAATGAAAGTGTACCTTCTCACATTTTATAGAAAAATAAGCTCAAAATGAATTAAAAACTTAAATATAAAACCTAAAAGCACAGTACTCCTGGGACAAAAAAAATCACAGGCAGTAATCTCTTTGACATTAGTCTTACCAATTTTTTTTTGGATATACCTCCACAGGAAAGGGCAACAAAAGCAAAAATAAACAAATAGAACTATATAAAACTAAAAAGCTTTTTGATCTGCAAAGGAAACTACCAACAAAACAAAAAAGTAACACTGATTTGGAGAAGATACTTGCAAATGATATTTCTGATAAGGGGTTGGTACCCTAAATGTAAAAAGAACTCACAGAACTCAATGTCAAAAAAAAAAAATAAACAATCTGATTAAAAAATATATAGGGAACCTAAATAGGCATTTTTCAAAGAAGACATACAGATGGCCAATAGGCACATGAAAACTGTTAACAACATTAATCAGCAGGGAAATGCAAATCAAAACCACAATGAGATTATCACCTCAGATCGGTCAGAATGGCTGGTATCAAAAAGACAAGAAACAACAAGTGCTGGTGAGAAGGTGGACAAAAAGGGAATCACTGTGCATGGCTGTTGAGAATGTAAATCTGTGCAGCCACTATGGAAAATAGTATGAAGATTACTCAAAAAACTAAAGACAGAACTACCATATGATCCAGTAATTCTACTTCTACTTCAACAGAAACAGTAAATTAAAATATATATATATATATATATATACCCCTCTAGTCATTGCACCACTATTTATAACAGCCAAGATACGAAAGCAACCTAAATGCTCATCATCAGATAAATGAATAAAACAAATACTATACGCTGACGCACACATACGAAGGAAGACAACTCAGCCATAAAAAAGAATGAGCTCCTCTCAGTGGCAGCAACATAGATAAACTGAAGGATACTATGCTAGGTGAAATAAGTCAGACAGAGAAAAATGAGTACCATATGATTTCACTTATACATAGACTCTACAAAACAAAGCAAACGAACAAACAAAACAGAAACAGACTCGTAGACATGGAGAACAAACAAGTGGTGGTCAAAGAGCAGAGAGGTGATTGTGGGAGGATGGACAGACAAAATCAGTAAACGGAATGAAGAAGGATAAACTTCCAGTTACAAAATGAATATATCACAGGGATGTAAGTGAACCCATAGAGAATACAGTCAATGATACCATAACAAATCTGTATTGTGATAGATGAAAGCTGGATTATTGTGGGGATCATTTCATAATGTATAAAAAATGTCAAGTCACTATGTTGTACACCTGAAACAAATGTAGTACTGTATACTAATTATATGCTGCTGAGCTGTGCTTAGTCGCTGAGTTGTGTCCAACTTTTTGTGACCACATGGACTGTAGCCTGCCAGGTCCCTCTGTCCATGGGGATTTTCCAAGCAAGAATACTGGAGTGGGTTGCCATGCCCTCCTCCAGGGGATCTTCCCTACCCAGGGGTTGAACCTAGGTCTCCTGCATTGCCAGTGGATTCTTTACTGTCTGAGCCACCAAGTAACCTGAAGAACACTGGAGTGAGGAGCCGATCCCTTCTCCAGGGGATCTTCCTGACCCAGGAATCAAACTGGGGTTTCCTGTACTGCAGGCAGATTCTGTACCAGTGAAGCTACCAGGGATGCCCATATTAATTATAACTCAATTTAAAAAGAAAAAGAAAGATGGTTAGAATTCTAAACTCACCACCTGTGGTGACTAAAATGTAATCTGTAGCTTCTGGGAGGGGGAAAAAGGAAGAAAGGAAAGAAAGAAAGATGAGGGAAGGTGGAGAGAGGGAGAGGGAAAGAAGTGATGAGAAGAGACAGGAAGAGAAAACAGAAAAGAAAAGGAAATTCCCCAAATTGAGTACACTAATCACAAAAGGTGAAATGGTGCTATTTATGGGAATGCTCTTCTTTGGCTACCCAAATTACTTTTTTAGTGACAGTAGAATTATTTTCTTCCTCGAGTAAAAGTTTTTTGCAAATAAATCAAACAGATTGGGAAGAAAAAAAGAATACTGTCTCACTCTGTTAATGTTCCTTTCTTTCTATCAAGAATAAAAATACTACCCGATCTATTTTAAAGGGAAGTTTTAAAATGTTGCTCTCAGGTGCAAAGATGGGCCAAGGACCCTGTTCTAGGACAGATTAGGGAGGGGGGTGAGACGACCCCGAGAGGGCAGAAGTGGTTCGGTGCCTTGCTGGTGCGCAGGGGGCTGGAGAGTGGTCAGAACAGGTCTAGAAGGCTGACAGACCCCTGCAAGAGGCATGTGGTGTGTGCTCACAGGGGGGTTTCCTCCAGAAATCAGAAGGAAATTTTAATTCCTTCACTTGCCAAGTAAGTGGGGGGTTAGTCATCCCTTCCAACAGGAATCAAATGAAAGAAAGGGGCTGTTATTGATCTCACAGATGAAGAAATGACAAAAGGCACACATTTAAGTACGTCATCTCCCGGTTACAGCACTGCCAGACTAGTTTTTTCATTTCTAACACTGATACCAAAAAGTATTATCACTTCCTTTTGTAATCTATTGTTTCTAAGCTGACAGATACACCCAACCAACACTGTAATTCTTTAAAACACATTTTAAGTCAAACTAGAAAACAGAAGGACACTATAAAGCAAGGCTCAAATATGTGTCTGCCAAGAGAAGATAAATGCTTGGATATTTACAAAATGAAGAGAAGGGATGTGCTGGTGAACTGAAACTGGACTCAAGGGATGTGTGGTCTGGTGGTTTTAGTTTTTTTTTTTTTTTTAACTTACGTCGCTGAGCCTTTCCCGGGAGCTGCTCCTGTGGAAGCCTTTGGATTCTCCACTGGCGCTTTCACTGTCACTGTCCCTGCAGCTGTTCTGCCCTGGCTTGAGCTGAAGGAAGAAGAAAAGAGAAAAAAGAAAGTGTCAGTGGTCTCCTCACACAACTGCTCCTTCACCCTTATTCTTTAAGCCTTGTCAAAAATGAACAATTTAAGGTCCTGATCTTTAGCATTTTTCTCAGCTTCTGAATAGGGCCAGGCAAGCTGCTGTAGAAAGAAATGTGGAGGATAAGATAAGTAAAACATTTAGCATAAAATGTCAATGTAGATAAAAGACCTGAGCAAGCCTTAAATAAACACTTGAAAAGTCTAACATGAATCTTGGAGGGTAATCTTCCCTGAGATTTTTCCAATCCAGGTTTCACCAACTATGATTTCTATCTTATTCTCTCTGTCCTCTTCTGGAGAAGAAAAAAAGAATCAACAAACAGAACAAAAAACAAGTTTTTCTTTTCCTAAGAGAAAATGATGAGATTCTTTATATTATCCTTTAACCACTAGGGAGACCCTGTTTTTCAAGATAAAACTCTAAAGATATTTTAAAATACCAAATTAAGACCTACAGCTTAAGTAAATTAAGCCAGCACCCATTCAACAACTATGTATTATATATAACATCTGAGCCTGAAAGTAAAACTAGAGATATGGTGCTTATTGATCAACTTAAACAGTCTTTGCTGTTTAATAGCTTTACAAAGCTATGTTACCAGTTTCTACACATTTACTGGCTCTGATTTTCATGTTCAGGATGTTGGACACACTTACCCAGATCTGATTTTCCACTCAAAATTAACAAACACACAGAACAACAAACCAAGAGTCTATATAAGACTGAGTCAAATTCACATGGACCATTAGTCTATGATGTTATCATCAACCACGTTTGCAGAGAACGCAAGCAATGTGATGCAAGTTACAACACACAGACCCTTTACAATGTGCTCACTCTAGCGAGAGAAAGACAGAGCAGGATAAACAGAGACAGCAACACAAGGAAATACATACACGCTAAATGAAAACCAGAAACGAGCCAGTGATGTTAGGAGGAAAGGCAATTTCTGAAGTCTTGGATTGTAAAAGAAGATTAAGTTCCTATGGCTGAAAGGAGAGAGAAAAATACTCTTTATGAGAGAAAGTCAAAAAGAAAAGGCAGGGAAACCAACATGCTAGGAAATGATCAGCAGTCTTATCGGAAATTAAAAAAAAAAAAAAAAACTTCTTTTGTGAGGAAACAGGAAGAAACAGTATAGGGGGGCATGGGTCGGAAAAAGGGAAATGTCAAACAGAACATGAGCCCCTTACTTCTGGGTAGCAGGGAACTTCAGAGAGCAGAACAGGTAACAGGTACCAAACACCTTGGCTGCAGCCTTTCATGTGGCTCTGGGACCATGGGGGAAGGTGAACCAAGATGACTGGAGAATGAAATCAAATCAGCATTCCCTGAAGCTTTAATGTGCCTCTTTAAAGACTACAGTTCAGACCTGACTTTTGGCCATACCATCTAATCAGCTATTCCCAAATCCTCACTATGTAAAAGGCATTTTTTTTTTTATTTCAACATTTCTACAAATCCACTTTTATCACTTCCTTCTAAAATCCCTTTCTCCAGGAAGTCTTCTCTAATGGAACCAAGAAAAATGATCCTAATTTTATTCTGTATCCTCCTGAGCCCTTAAGTACTTAGTTTCCTCCTAAGTTACTGTTAAACCTGCTAATTCTAAGTTAATTCAGATGCAAGCTATATGAGCCTTTTCTTATTACTATGGAATAAAAGTTCAGAATACTGTCATTCTCTTCAAGTTTTCATTTTTATACTTGTAATAAAGGGGAATTGAACCTAAAATGAACATCACTTCCTTTCAATTTCCTGAACATGTCATGTCCATTCCTGGCCTGTACTTTTTCACACTAGATTTTCTCAGTCGGGAATGCTCACTCTCATTCTCTCTGCACTTTTCAGGTCAAAATTTTTTCTGAAGATCAGATATTATCTCTTCCACCATGGTCTTTAAAGCGTTCTTTCTCTATATATTTATTTTCTGACATATGCCTTCAAAGTCTAGCAAGCATCTCATTTTTCATTGAATGCCTTTTATAATTGTGATATATTTTATCAAGTTTTAAAAGGCCTGCATTAAATATATTTATACTGATGATAAAATCTGTGTGTGGAATGTAATTCATAAACAATGTCGGAACTCCTATCTCATTGGATCTCTGAGTTAAGTAGAGGCAGGTAAAACTAACTCCAATGGGTGGAATGGAAAAAAAAAAAACCCAAAAACTAATAAAGGAAATCTGCTCAGAATTAGGGAACAGATTGAGGACTAACCCCGTGTCTCTACTGCCTACTGCTATCTTCATTGTAATTCACAGTGCTTGCTTAAATGTTTACATTTAACCTGGAAATAATGATTCTGTGGTAGACCAGTATTCTCTCATAGAATTTATTTTCGATACATCTGTGGTAACTAACTGTATTCACAAAGAAATCTTATTAGGTAACATTTGATCAAATAATGTTTATAAAAACCAACACCTCCAACTTAGAGGAGAAATAAACATCAAACTGGGAATTCAGAGAATAAGAAAATCAAGACTTTTCCTAATGCTCAAATGGCTTAACAAAATCTAGACTTTCCATTTGGGTCTCTTCCATGTTTCTTCATGGAAGGAAAAGGATGACTTCAACAAGGTCCAACAAGAGACCCCAGTGGCCCTGATGTAAATTTTCTGACTAAATGTTGATCTAGGCTAAGAGCAAAACCCAAGAAAAACTCAGAGGAAGCAGCTCACTAGCCTTCCTTATGTCCTGCCAGCAAAAGCACTTCAGTGAATTTTCTTCAGAGAGCCTTACATAAAATCCACCCCCATAGTACCCCTTTCACCTCCAAAGCCAGGCTCAAGTTTAAAGGAAACTTAGGATTTTAAGCTGTCAGACAGCTCAATATTTCAAAGATACAGACTGACTACAGTAAGTACTAAAGCTAAACCACAAGATTTCAGGCAAAGAAGTATTCCTTCCTAATCCCATGAATACATTTAAGACTGGCATTTTCAACCACATCCAATGGATCATTCGGGGTAGCATAACTAACTCAGAAGTTGTAATCCTTCACCTGAAATTCCCAGCTATTACCTACAACCAAGAGACATTTCAAAAGCCAGGTGCTGGCTTAAACATTTAAAGACCTAAGAAAAATCAATCTGCATGCATTGATTTCTCCTAGCATTCACAGCAGCTCTGTTATAAGAAAGTTTCTGCTATAAATGATGGAATGAAATTTTTTATTATCAGTCTTTAGATATCTAAGAACCTCACTTACTTAAAAATTACTACAATTCACTCTAGTTTTAGAAGTTTCTTCCCATTAGGTATAATATTGTTTAAGAATCAGAAGTAGAAAAGAGAAAAAAAAAGTGAAAGGAAGCTAGCATCTAGCATGAGTGGCTGTAATACTATCAAGTAGGATTATCATCTTGTGTAAAATACAAGAAGCCAGTGTATTTTCATCAGATTTCGTAGTCAGCAGTATATTTACCATGCTCTGAAACTGTGCTGTCATTACAGAGTTAACTATTATTAATGACTAATTGGGAAAATAATGATACATGGTTTTGTTATGGCTAATGAACATGTAAGAGAGTCCCACTGTCCCAGACTGAGGGAAGGTGGAGCAATTCTGTGCACATCTGGCAAGATTTGTGAGCTAGGCTGTGCCATTCTTTTCATGTGTGTATGGAGAGTTCCAAGAAGATGCAAGATGTTCAGAAGGTGCCATTAACTCTTCAAACAAAACTCACAAACAGATGAAGTATGTGAGAAGATACCTATGCCTAGAACTCAAGAAGACTGACGGGACTTACGCAGTGCCATGCACAAGAACAGCCGAAAGTAATCTCCTACCCCAGTTTTGGTTCCTCAAAGCACCATAAATCTTACCTTGGACTGCTGAGTATTCCTGCAGGGATCGAAATGAACAATATACAACACTTCTTAAGGTGCCAACAAGCACCAAATCTCCTGTTCAATGATATTTTAAAATATACCTTCACTAACATCAAAACAGTGAGTATTTAATCTCATAAAAGTGGTGTTTTATTTTTCCCATATAAAACTGTCCCTAAGTGGAGAAAGTTTCATAGATTGAGTGGCATTTGACTGTTTTATTTCTTAGGCTTTAAAAGGTATTTTGGAGGAAAGGCACAGAACCAAAGCAAATAACTTAATGAAAAGGTTGGACATGTCAAAACAAGCTAGCGGGAAATAACTAGTACAAACAAAATTATAAAGTTGAATAGTAAAAAACTTGTTCTTAAGAAATAAATATTGTACTTTTAAATGCATAGTAATAATATGTGACAGGAACAAAAATTAAATTCTGGAAACTAGGGTAGAGCAAGGAATTTGTGTGAAATTTCTCTGGTACCACAGAATCAGAAGTTATACTGTTATTGTTTTCAACAGAAAAAGAATTTTAAGGATTTCATAATCATAAAATTAATCACTAGTAAAATTTAAAGTTATTTGCTTCTAAGTTACTATCAAATGTAAAAGAATAAGAATAATAATTAACAGAAATGGAAAAAATAAGTGAAATAGCAACAAAGCAAGCATGTGGTTAAGTATATTGGTTATTATAACGATAACATACATGGATTAAGCTCCCTTTTATTTTTAAAGGCAAGGATATCTAGTTTGTATTGGATAAAGTAAAAAAAAATGTATTTGCTGGTCATAAAGCACTCCTAAATTTTAAAAGAGAAAAAAAGACAAAATATTAGAAATAAATGGCTAAAGTCATATGCCAAAGATAATCATTTTATAGCAATAAAAGGTATAATATTTACCTTTTAGATTTCCGTTCTTTATAAAAGGAAATCAACAGGAGTTAAAAAACTTTAACATGCTATTTACACTAAGAAAATAAAACAACAGAAAGGGACCCAGGGGTTAAAGTGTTACAGAATTCAGTTTGCTCAAGCAATACATATTAAATTAAGTAACTTATATAGACCACATCTTTCAGAGCATCCAGTGCACATTACCAC